TATATATATATATTAAAATTAATCAAAATTTTGCTCAATCGTTAGAGATAAAGTTATAAAGTGTTACTCAAACATAAAATTCGTGAAATTGAAGATACAAACATTAAACAAATTAATACTCCATATTCACAAGATTTTAATAGATCATACTGATTGCTTTGTTAATTTATTAAAAATTCTAAAATATAAATAATAATACATAGAAATCTGTGTATTTTATTTATTTATAAAATATACTTTTAAAATTAATATTATTAAATAAATTTAAAAATACCATATAATTTATTTAAAAGCTACAATGTTAAATTATTTTGTAAATATATAATTTAATATAAAATAGTAAAACAAATACGTTTTCCATCTTAAATCTTTATGCCTTTAAGATTAATATATATAACTTAAAAATATTTAATAAATATAAAATTTGACTAAAAAGTTCTTATGTAATATCTTTATATCTCATTCTATTGTCTCATTTTTTGTAAAAATCGAGTGAATAATTAATAGATAATGCCTATTAAACAAAAATATGATTAAAAAAATGAATTAAACTTGAAAATTCTAAAATATCCATTATTTTAGAGGAATAAAAAACTATAGACTAGAAAAAATGAATAATTTATTTATTAATTAATTAAGGAGGGGTTGAAATTAAGTCTGAATAAATTTCTGATGCTAACAATTACGTGCTTCGAATGCGATGCAGTCTAAAAGAGAAAACAAATGGACACCTGTACCGAAATGCTTGTCCCAAAAACATTAGACTCTGAATAAGGTACGACGTTAGACTGAGCAATGACACGCGTTGCGAAATTTTTATCATGCTTTGATCCAAATTCGTTCCTTCCACGCCATGAAAGAGAAACTCAAAACTCAAGGAGAAAAGAACGACGTAACCATGCTTTCACCACTGATATGTGGCTGCATACCATTCGTTTATTGTGACTGCTGACAAATTCACTGTCCCTTGGCAACTTATCTCATTGGACTTTTATTAAAACTAAGGAATTCTCATCTTTTAACAATGATGTTGATATTGATCGATGCAAATTTTCGATGCTCGAATGAAACATCAGCAGGTTGTTTCGGATGTGATTAATGATCCACCCTACCCAGCGGCTAATAATTAAGCTCAAAGCTTAATTTTAATTTCACACCTATTCACTTTAATTTGTTATAACAACTTTTATTAGTTTATAAATACTCATCATTATTTGTGCTTTATTTTTTTATAACATACAGTCTATCAGTAAATCCAAAATGAGGTAGTGTTGTTAATCAAACCGGGTGAGAAATTACTTAATAATTATAGGTGCTTTGTTTATTATGAACTCGGTTCTATGTCGTGTTAAATTTTTTTTAGAACAGTTTTAAACTTACTCTTAATATACAATGATATTGTATATTACAGGTAAAATCAAATTCAATGAGTCAAAAGAAGAACAATTCACTCCTTATATAAAGTTTTGATCATTACAAAATTTAACAAAAAAAATCTTCATCTACACGATAATGGATATATTCACATAGTTGTTATAAAAATATTGAGTTTAACGTAAACTAATAATTAATGAACCACATTAGAAATAACTTTTTCATAAAAATAAAAATATTTTAAAACTAAAAATATTGTTCTCAACTAAAAGAGCATGAATGCTCTAATATATAAGGAAGTAAGCAACAAATGCATATTTCATTTCCCCAAGCTGTATTATCTACACATTCTTACCTCCTGATGGCATGCTAAATTGAGAAAACAAAAAAAGCCGAGATACATGTAATGCTAAATGAAGAAGCTTCAAATTAAAAATTGTACAATCAACTTACCAAATTTGTATAAACAACATGTTAATCCATTACCTATTAAATAAGTTGTAACTATTATCGATCGCTACACATAATTATTTAAGATGTAATTGAATAACATAAATGTGTGTCATAGTAAAAACGTTACAATTATAAATTTGAATCATACAATTATACAGAAAAAAATTAAAGTTAATTAAAACATAGGACCACTTAAAAAAGTTATATTTGTTCTTTTAATATCAATTATTTAAATGTGATTTGAAAGCTTATATTTGTTGCTTAATTTTATGAATGATAATGATGAAGTTTCACTTGAGCGATAAGGCAAGCCACTAGATCCAAGCCAAGAGGGAAAATACGGCGCAAGTTTATTGCAGCCATAAAGTGGAAGGAAGAATTGAATGTGTAAGATTGACAAGGCACAGGTGGAAATTAAAGAGTACTAATATATTAAACCAGAACCATTGAACTTTGGGTATAAATTAAAGCAGGTTCATTCATGATAGGAATTCCCATAACTTGAAAAACCAATAAATTATAGTACTAAACCAGGCACTCACTTCCAAGCAGAATTTCCACGTCACGTAATTATGCAGCCAAAGATGTCAAATCATATGGAATATTCTCATTCATCAGAAGCAGACACGAGAAAGAGTAGGAGTAATAAGAAAAGAAGGTTCAATGATGAACAAATAAAATCATTGAAATCCATGTTTGAGAGAGACTCAAGGCTGGAACCGTCGAAGAAATTGCAGGTGGCAAAAGAGCTTGGTTTGCAACCAAGACAGGTTGCTATATGGTTTCAGAACAAGAGAGCTCGATGGAAGTCAAAGAAGCTTCAGCGAGACTACACCATACTTCGAGCCAATTATAACTCTTTGGCTTCCCACTTTGATCTTCTCAACAAGGAGCATCAAGCATTGCTAATTCAGGTATCCTTCCTCAGTTTCTATGTTAAACTAGCATATATAATTAATATCTCCGTCAATTAAAAATGTACAGTACGACTATTAAAATTAAATTTAGAGATATTTTGAAGGACTAAAAATACATTTGATACATGGTTATATACAATGAAATTTGAACAGTTGCAGGAGCTGAATGATGAAATACACAAGTCACTAGAACATGCTGAAAGTTGTACAACAGGAAAGAAGATGGAGAGTGAGAGAGAAAATGGAGACATGATGAAAAGTGAACAAGAGGTAAAGCAGTCAAAAAGATCAGAAGACAATATTGTTGGTAGTGTTAACGTTCTCTCTGAGGATGACAGCGGCATAAAGGCAGAACAACACTTTGGAGTGGAAGATGAACCTGCCGCTGTGAATGTTGTTCACCATGCTATTGCTGCTGAGGATTGGTGTGTGTTTGACTATGATGATATCTTAGGCCAATCAACCAGCTCCGATTATCAATGGTGGGACTTCTACTCCTGAATCAACCAAATAATTAAGTGCATGTGTGTGTCATTATGAAATACCAGAAATTCAATAATTCTCCTTGGAAAAGAAAAAATAATAAATAATTACTCCCTCCCTTTTTTATTTATAATTGTTTTGCTATTATTTTTTTTTATTATTATCATTTTTTTAAAATCAATGAGTTATTAAATTTTTTTTTATTTTTATCTTTAATAATTAATATATATTTATTGAATAATGTGTTTATTTATTTTTTAATATATTTATTTCTTCTTTAATCACTTAAAAGGTATTATAACAAGAAAATAAGTAATAAATATTTTTAAAAATTAAAATATCAATCATTTTTTTAATTCTTATGCATAATCTTAAATGTCAAACAAAAAAAAAATAGAGGAAGTATTTTTCCCTTTGAAAATAAACCTGGCAGCTCAATTATAATCACAAAATTTTATTGAAAAAACATACCAGGAATTATCAATAAAATCTCGAATGCTAGTAATTATTGAAGCTCTACGTTCGTTAATTTTATTTTCCCAATGACTATTTGTAAAATAAGAATACCACAGCTAGCTAGCTGCAAGGTTATAGGACGTGCCTCGTCCTTTTTATTGAATGAACAGAGACTGTAAAAATAATATTTAAATGTTTTTAACTGCTTAAAAAATTAATTATTTAATAATTTATATATTTTGTTACTCAATATTTTTTTATGCGTAGTTCTTTACTTTTGTTAACGTAGTAGTCAGGGTGTGAGTGTGAGGAGAAGTTTGGATTATTGATAAAGTCTCATTGTTATTGTACCAAAAATAATAATAGTGTTTGGCCCAATTATTTTGGGCTTTTTTTTTAATGCTTTATTTTTGGGTATATTTAATGCTTTATTTAGATATATGAAAGAAAATAAGAGATAAGTATAATTAAAAAAATTGTATTTTTTACATAGATAGATTAGAAACGACAAAAAATAAGTAAAAAAGTGTAATAAAAAAAATTGAGAGAAATGAAGAAAAAAATACGAAGGAGTTTTGTTTTGAAACTTTCACACCGAATTTTTTTTTTTTGGTAATTTAAAAAAATAAAAGAGAATTTTTATGATGAAGACAAAAAAATGTTTTAGTTTGCTCTACCGAGATTTGTGAAAGGAAAATACCATGTGGCACACCGCGATCATGATTTTAGCCTTAACGTCAAAATATGTATCTCCCTTGTTACATATGGGAAGAATTACTGCACTTGGAGATCGAGGTTAAGCTACATTTTTGGGGCTAAAGCCTCTTGTGGACAATTATATTCTATTTTGGTTAACCACAATGTAATTTTACTTCTCAACTAAACATGATTTACTAATCATGAATGTAGCTTAACTTTTTTTTTGCTACTAGTAGTGTTGACTTAGGTGAACACTATTATAGTTTTGGACTACGTCAATGTTGTTTGATAGAGTGTTGTGGATAAAAGTGTCATTTTAAATAATTTATTTTTACTGATTTACTCTTTTACTCATTTAAATATGTAAAAATATTTTTTTTAAAATTTATTTTCATTTCATCCAAAAATAAAAATATATATCTATGTTAGTATAATTTTTTTTTGCCTTTTTTCTCTTGTTGATTTTCTTCTACTTCTTTCTGGAGTTGTAGCAACCTCGGTCGCGACGGGATGGCGAAAAATAAATTAAAAAAGAAGAGTCGCCACCAATGTTATTTTTACGAAAAAACATTGGAAAAATCATTAAGTAAAAAATAGTCTACGAAAACCAAATTTTTGGGTTCGGGAGTCGATTACGTGTGAGAAAGGTATTAGTACCTCACAACGTTCGTCCTAAGACGATTACCTTTAATTAATAAAACTAATTATTAATAATTTATAAAATATTTATCTCACTAAAATGATCAAATATATTTTATTTAACTAAATTATCATTGTATATATATATAAAAAAAAGTTAAAATTATTATTGTTATATAAAAAGGAAAATAATATTTTTTATTTTTTGACTCGACAATATTTATTTCTTGCTCCTACGTATCTTCATGAAGAATCAGAGTCACGTAGTTCTTTATAGAAAATGTTTGTGTGTTGATATTTTTTAATTAAATTTTATTTTTTTTAAATATAGAATTCTTGAAATGTCTCAGCTCATTCACCCTAAAAATATAAAATTGACTAAGGTGTACACCAAAGTCAATTATAAAATTTTAATTATAATTATTACCAGAGATATTATGATGTTAAAAAATTTATTGATTGAACATTTTTGTTTTTGGAAAAAAAATTTAAAGATAAGCTGTCACAACTTGTACTTTAAATTCAAAGGTTAAAAAGATGTCACATCTAATTAACCATTCTTCCAATAAAATTTTTACTATAATAACTTTGAAAACTTATGTGGAATATTGTAGTAATATTTTTTTATATTTAATTATATCTTAAATTTAGATAAAAAGTATTTTAGATAACAAATTGTCACAACTTGCATCTTTAAGCTTTAGAATTAAAAGAATGTCACATTCTAATAATTTTTTTTTTGAAATAATAAATATCATTAATATAAATGTTAAAGGAGAATCTCGTAGTTATTAATATTATTATTATTATAACAGTAACTATTGATATTATTACTATTATTATAATTATAATTATTCATATTATTATAACTATTATTATTATTTGAATCCGTTTCAACAACGTAGCAGCAAAAGCCAAAGTAAAAGGCAAAGAAATAGGAAGAAGGGTACTGCATGCAGTCACATCCCAACTTATTGCTCATGAAGAAATAGATACTAGAGACATAAATATATATTAAAAATAAGGGGTAAAATAAGTTGAAATGCTATCAAATATATATGTACGTGGGAAGATATTTTGAACGGTGAAAATAAAACAAAATAATCAAGAAGAAAAGAAAGATGACACCTGTAGAGCTTGTAATGCCATTTTAGCTTCGCATGACGTGGTTGGTAAACAATGAATGGTTGTGGAAAAGTTCGATGAAGTACTAATATGAAGCAAACCAACAGCCATGGGTCACAGTGAAGACTAGAGACTTTAGAACACTTTCGGTTTCATGATTCACATGCAAAAACAACGAACCTTCGAGCCAAGATGTCTTTGACCAAATGCAGAAAATGAAAACGCAAGGGGCTGCCAGGTTCGGACGTGATGAATATGCATGGTATGTTTGGCAGTTTGATTTGAGATTCTAGTTCGCACATTAGTGTATACAAAAGTGTGTCAGTCATGGTAGATGAGTGGTGTATAGTGTTTTAGCTTGTGAAGAATAATGGCTAGCATACTCTTAGAATGATGAATGTTGTCGGGAAGAAGTGAGGGATTGTGCAGAGATTATGTAAGGAACAGAGAAATCATGGAAGCTTGAGTCATTTAGGTTGTCATTTAATTCGAGGTGTTGGGTGGTCATGGTGGATCAAAACAAATGAACATGGCTGGTGCACTCAAAGCCATGAATGTGATGGAAGGAGGTCAATGTTGTTAGGCCACTTGCAAGTGTTCTTGTGTGTGAAAGAAAAGTCCCCCAAGGCTGTGCTTGAGTGCTGGTTATCAAGAATCCTCCCGTTGGCCTCGAGAGAATGACATGAAAAAGAAGTTCCCATAAAAAACTCCTGCGCCACCCTGCCTGAGCTTGCTTTTTTCAATCAAAAGCTGAAATAGCTATTTTTGTTTTTCTTGCAACTGCACGCATATCCTACGCAATAAATGCGTATCTATCACTTTACGTGTTGCGGATGAAAATCGGAAATCTTCTGCACATATTTCTTTTTGAATGATTATTGTTCATAAAATTCAAATTTAAACTTATTTTATTTTAATATTTTATTTGTATTAGTTATAACCTTTTTTATATATACTTTTTGTTATTATTTTAAAAACAAAATTAACATTTTTCGGACGAAATTGGATTACTAGAGTCAAACAAAGTGTTGGCGAATATTCTTTAAGTAAAATTGGGGGGACATAATTAGCTGGTTGCCTTATAAAAGACCATATCAACAATCACACTATAGGGACTTCAAATAAGATTCAAGATTCTAAAGAGGACTTGGCACTTCCTTCACATTTCAACTTCAATGGTCTTGTCCTGTCCTGTATGTCCTGTTCCTTCTTCTTTTTCCACATATATATATTTTTAAAAAATTTCTCAAACTATATATTTTAAATTTTGAAATCCCGAACTTCCCATTGACTCTTTTCCTCCCATTTGAATTTTGTGTTGGAGTTTTTCAAAGATCCCCTATCATAAACAATCAAATTATAATTTAGCATCAAAACAACTACAAATGTTCCATGTTATATTGTTAAATTAATGAATCTTTCTATTCACACATGCATTACCGATCAGCTCACAAAAAAAAAAAAAAACAAAAGGCCAATTCTCACGTATCTACAGGATTTAACCAATTAAGTTAATAATATTTTTTTTATGTATTGTTAATTTAAATTGTTTTACTCTGTTCACCAATAAAAAAAATTTGTTGGTATGATAATTTATGATTAAATAATTATATAATCGTTTATATTATTGGTTCATCGTTTATCCATGCCGTTTTTTTTTTGTCCCTGGAGTATCCACCGTTGATAACAGTGATTAATTTCCTCGCTACATTGGAGACACTTCAAAGAGTGGGATAATTGACTCTAAAATTTAACGCGGCTACATACACCGTTTATTTAATCAAAAGAAACTATTTATATATTAATATAGAGAAATTTATTCATCCTTGTCTAATACCATAAAGAAAATTAGTTAGCTTATTAACCTTCGTTGAGTGGTTACAAATTGAAACCACGATGGGATTCCTGTCTAACCAATAAACAACTTGTTAATAACGAACATAAGTTGTTCCTTTCATCTATAGCAAATATATCCATATCCTAGTTAGTGTGTTAACGTATTATGCTTTACAATATACTAATTGACTCTCACTGATATAGTTGTCCAAATCTTGCATGATAAATATAAAAAAAAAACTACTAAAATTAAAGATATTTGCGCGCGGGTGTGTAAGTGAAACAGAAAAAGAAAAAAGAAAACAAATTACTGAAGTTAATGTTGATTAGATCACACCATACTAACGTGCTGAGGCAACATTTGTAGCTTGGAAGATTATAAATTATATATATTTAGTAACTGGGACAGGGCTGCTGAAACGAACCAATTAAAATAACTGCAGGAATAAATATAAATGATAATAAAGAAACTTGTACAATAGGATCATTTGGGAATTGATGGTGAATATTAAGCAAGCAAGTTGCATGAAGGTGTAATTAATTTAATGATTAATTAAAATAAACGTTTAACGTTTTGCGTCTCGAATCAAATCTTTGGAAAGGAAACAAGAATATTATGATCTATAGATAATGCTTTATGTTTTTTATGCAGTTGATTGCACTTGGGTTATGCGCCATGCCTAATGTAATCAGATAAAAAGGTGGTTCTCCCCTGGAGTAAGTAGGAAGCACCCTTTTATTTTTTTTGTTTCGTTTTCAGTGAGGGAAGAGGCTTGCACTTACCTTTCTAATTCTATATGTCGAAATTTCAATTTGTCCACAGTTGATTTATTCCGATGATCAGTGATGTTAAATGTGGATTATAATTTGCATGTTCATAAAAGGATAATGTTAAAGTAGTATATATGTTTGGCACTAAATTAACTATACTGAAAGGATATATCTAGCTAGCTAGGCTGACAGGAACATTAAAATGATATTTAATGTTCCTAACTTTATGACTATTACAGAAGTAATGATTTAACATTGCTTCCTAACTTTTTCAAAAACATTAAAATGATTAAAATATTTTAGAAGTAATGATATTTGAGAAGAATAAGAACATGGAAATCTATAAGGCGTAGGACCCAATTTCACATCTGGGAGGGAAATATTGCCTCCCGCGACTTGTGCCTTCCATATATTAGGACTAGTTTCTTTTTTCTTCTTCTTCTATCTAGTCAAAAAGAAAGTGGAATGAACAGGAACCGTGCTCTATCATCAATCCATTAGTGCAAACCTTAATTAAAAACCCTTTGAATAAAACAAAGGACCACGGATCCCAATTGCTGAACATATTCTTCACTAAAAGATCCATTTCTGATGAAAGTATGTATGGAGAAAAAGAAGGAAAAAAAAGAGATATGATTCAAAGGAGAATTTCTTTCATACCACCGTTAATTTGTTGATGGGAGGGAAAGGAAAGAAAATACAAATGTATAGTTCTACTTTTGTTATTTGTTATTTATAAACTAGTAATATATAAAGAAATGACAAGAGCAAGCAATTTGTAGGTCAAAAATGCCTAGCCGTCTATCACAAACCACAAAAGTCAGTCAGAACAGAGCATGGCATCAAATCCAATTAACCATAATGTAAAAGAGTTATTAAGGTACACTCCAAAATGGGGTGGATAGAAAAGAAAAAATAATAATAAATATGATACGTGATGGTGGTACGATTAAAAATGAAGAAATAAATAAAATAAAATAAAATAGATGAAAGTGAGACAATAGAGAAAAAAATATAAATTTGAGTTAATCACCTATACACTGTCAGTGTAAATTTTTTTACACTAACAACCAATTATATCTTTTAATTGTTTCATAACACTGTTAAAAATAAATATATTTATAATAACATGACACAATTAAAAGATCTAATTGATTGTTAGTATTATAAATTTTGTTTGAAAATAAAAGACTTTTAAACTCTAGTGATCAAATAGGTCCTTACGAAGATCGAGAACATAATAAACTAACGGAAATTTTGTGTTTTTTTTTTTCCTTTTAAATGTAAAATTTAAAATAAATATAACTATCATGAACTTTAACTGCTTTCTAATTTAATTTTGAAACAATTTTATCTTAATTTTAAAATTTGAAAAAAGTTTCATACTCATCTTATATTCGTGCATGTATTTATTAAGCGGGTATCTATGAATTTTTTAAATACCCACGGATGTTCATAGATATTCATAAATATTTATAAATTTTTAAGAAATTAAAAAAATTATATTAAAAATAATTTTAAGTTTATATTTAATATTATTGAAATATTAAAAATAAAAATTCAATATTAATTTTAAACTTGTATTTACCGTTAATTTTGTTGAAATAATAATAAAAATGCAAGATAATCAATAACTTAAAATACATCAATCTCATAAGTGAAAGTCTCATATCAGAAAATTACAATAATTAAATCTCATAATTGCAGACGAAAGTAAACAACTTAAAATAAATAAATCTTATTGTGATGACTAATGTGTGGGTTGTGCGACTATGAAAAGAAAATAAGATGAGAGAGTGTAGTTTAGAATTTTGTAGTACAAGGATAATTATGATATTTAAGAAATATTATTAAATAAATACCTGCGAGTATGAATATCATACCCGCCCCCGCTCCATTTATAAATAGGTAAAAAATTATCCGCTTCTTAACCCTAACGTCACCTTTACTATCAAATATAAGTATAATTAATTAAGTATAAAATAATTTGTGTGGTTTACATTTCCTCTTCACTTTTCCTTTGTAACCGAGGATTGGTCATGTTGCATTTTAGTAATGAACACAAACAATTTGAAGCACTAACTTAGCTACTAGATATATACCATAATTAAATAACATATGTCGCAAGAGCTTGGTCTGATTCTCTAAAACAGGAACTCTCACTTTCTTATAAAAATATTTAGGTACTTAGAAGAATATAATACTTTGAACAGATTATAATTAATTTAAGTTTTATTACATAATATATAAAATTCATTTAATCTCCCTTGGCATGTATTTTTATGCTCTACATCGTATGTTGTATTTTGATTAATCAATTGGTATAATATTGCTTTATAAATTACATAATAGTTTTTTATATTGTTGGAAAAAAAATTACGTGACTCATAATTTATGTTTGATTTAATTATCCTATTAATCTAATTAATTGTTTGATTATAAGAAGCATAGTCATGATGTAACAAAAGAGTTATTTCACAAGGAATAAATAATTAATGGTCATGAAATATTCTTATACTTACAAACATGATCTATTTTATAGTGATATTTATTGTTCATATATATAAAATTTGTAAATTTTATATATGTTTTACATCAAAATGTTTGAATTTACTAATTTAAGAATTATTGTAGTATTAATATTATATTACAAAAATGATATATATTTAATCATCATATACAAGCATTTCAAAAAATCAGTGGGAGTCAAAATTTTCAATAAGTAAAAGTGAATTATTGACAAGTGAAATTTGAGAAAATACGTGAGTATATATTTGATCACAGACGCAATGTTTTATTTTTATTTTCTTGGATTTTTCAATTTTATAAAAGATCAATTAAGGATTCTTAAATAAATATTATTTTTGAAGAATATTAAAGGTGGAGGTTAAGGTAAACAAATTGATATAAAGTATAAATAAAAAAAAGTTAATTTCTATTAAGTATATAGTTGCAGAATAATAATCCAATAAAAAAATTGCTAGCTACAATATTATAAGATCATATACTCAAAGATTTGTGTTAAAGTTTGTCTTTCTTATTTTATGACTTTGTGCATATTAAGCTTGTCATATAAATATATGATTCATTTGAATCAATATAATATGAACCTATCAGTTATTAGAAAATATTATGCATTCTAATACATGGGATAAAGTATTTATCTTAAAATACAATCGTCATAATTCATGTATGATATTTTCTATATAGTTTTGAGAAATTTCAAACTTTAAGTTAAATGACCATATTTAGTTGTAGGTGATAGGGATCTAAATAGTATATGAGCCAAGTGAGATAAAGTTTAAAAAAATATTATGTGACTCATATAATTTATGTTTAATTTAATTACCCTATTAATTTAATTAATTATTTGATTATAAAAGTTCTTAAAAAATAATAATTAGTTATTAAAAATCATAATTTACCTGTTTTATTAGTTTTTGATATAGAAACTAATAGAGAACTATTATGATAACAATAAAATAGAGGATCACTAGTCTTGTTTATAAAAAGTAAACTCTCTATTTTTTTAAAAAATATCTAAATACTTTGTTATATATTTAATAATTTGATAACAATAATTAAAAAAATACACTTTTACTATTATAAATTATAAATTAAAGTTTTTTTTTGTTACATATACTGCATGAAAAGGATTTATAGTGCATAGAATTGCGTTTATACATACTATTTTTTCTAGTATTATTATATAAGAAACTCAAAGATGACACTTAGAAAGAACTATATCTTAAAAGAAAATTAAAATAACATTTCTTTGGAGAAGTGTGGTCTTTAGATACTCGTTAGACATCGATTATTTGACCTAGGGGTACCCCATTATAGCATAGTATAGCTAGTTGATCTCGAATTATTGTAATACAACTTGTCTACAATTTGATATTCGATTAGTGTAATATGAACAATATTAATTTTTAGTTTAGATCACTAATATTGGCAATTTATTTTAGCTGAAAATATTATCGGCAGAGTGAAATAAACTTCGAGTCTTAGACGTTATTTAGTTAAATATTGATTTACATTATTTTAAAAATTACATTAAGTAAAAATTGAGAAATTAATATGCTTTTTTTCTTAATTAAGATGTCAGTTTTGAAAAAAAGAAATTAAAATGATTTATCAGTTCAATATTCGAATATTTTAAATATAAAATAAGAATTGAGAATTTTAAGTGAAAATGATAAAGAAACTTAGTTAAATAAAGATATATTTTTTGATAATCTTATAAATCATGAGATTCTTTACAGTTATGAATATCTATTTTGTTACTGTGAATTAAAAAAATGTTGATACGTGGTTAACGATTAACATAAGCGTAACGGTTATTGATCGGGTTGGTGAGGTGGTGTGTCTATATATAGCGAAAGCAGGGTGTGCAATATTGGTCTCACAGTGAGTAAGCAGCATGAGCAGCTACATTGACGATAAGCTCTGGATCATTGGTCTCGCAAACCAAAACCTTGCATGGGGCTTTGCCTTTTTCATGGCGGCCACACTCTGGCTGGCCATCACTTTCTTTTACTGGTGCCACCCGGGGGGTCCTGCCTGGGGGAAGTACTACTCCTACACCACCTACCCACCCATTCCCGGGCCTAAAGGGTGGCCTCTGATTGGGAGCATGGGTCTGATGGGGTCTCAGGCCCATCACCACATTGCTGCAGCCGCCACAGCATGCAGAGGGAAGCGCCTGATGGCCCTGAGCCTGGGGGAAACACGTGTCATCGTCACGTGCCATCCCGACGTGGCCAAGGAGATTCTCAACAGCTCGGCCTTCGGCGATCGCCCCGTCAAAGAGTCGGCCTACAGCCTCATGTTCAACCGCGCAATCGGTTTCGCCTCTTACGGAGTTTACTGGCGAACCCTCCGGAGAATCTCCGCCAACCACCTCTTCTGCCCCAGGCAAATCAAAGCCTCCCAACTCCAACGCTCTCAAATCGCCACCCAAATGCTTCACACCCTCACAAGCAGCCGCAGCCGCAGCCGCAGCCGCAGCCATCACCACCCCTTACGTGTCCGCCAACTCCTCAAAAAGGCCTCCCTATCTAACATGATGTGCTCCGTCTTTGGACAACACTATAACGATAGCCTCAACCAGGAAGAAGAGCTTGCAAGCTTAGTGGACCAGGGCTATCACTTGTTGGGCCTCTTCAATTGGGCCGACCACCTTCCTTTCCTTGCACATTTCGACCCTCAAAATATCCGCTTCAGCTGCTCCAACTTGGTCCCCAAGGTGAACCGCTTCGTCACCACAATCATCGCTCAACACCGAGCCACCAAAACCCAAACCAACCGTGATTTCGTTGACGTCTTGCTCTCTCTCCCTCAACCCGATCAATTATCCCACTCCGATATGATCGCTGTGCTTTGGGTAACTACGTCTATAATATATTCTTTCATTTTTATTTTTAACCACAAGTTTTGATCTAAAATGTTTTCTCATTTGGCAGGAAATGATATTTAGGGGAACCGACACGGTGGCGGTTTTGATCGAGTGGATACTGGCGAGGATGGTGCTTCATCCGGAGGTGCAGTCCAAAGTTCATGAGGAGCTGGATGCAGTTGTGGGGAGGTCACGCGCCGTGGCGGAGGATGACGTGGCAGCGATGACGTACCTGCAAGCGGTGGTGAAGGAAGTTCTGAGGCTGCACCCGCCGGGCCCACTTCTGTCTTGGGCCCGCTTGTCCATCTGTGATACGACGATTGATGGGTATCACGTGCCCGCGGGGACCACTGCTATGGTGAACATGTGGGCTATTTGCAGGGACCCACATGTGTGGGTGGATCCACTGGAATTTATGCCCCACAGGTTCCTCACTGCGGCTGAGTTCTCCATTCTGGGCTCGGATCTAAGGTTGGCCCCCTTCGGGTCGGGTAGGCGGGTGTGCCCCGGGAAGACGCTGGGGCTGGCTACGGTCTACTTTTGGGTGGCCTCGCTCTTGCACCACTTTCAATGGCTACCGTCTGATGACAAGGGAGTTGATCTCACGGAGGTGCTCAGGCTCTCTTCTGAAATGGCTAACCCTCTCACCGTCAAGCTGCGCCCCAGGCCATGATAAGGGAATTTAGTACACAGTACACACAACACATATAGAAATAAACACATACAACTCAAGCTTATGCATAGGTTCGTTCCTACTTGCTAATGGTCGCAGATATGCATGCACCCACCAACACCAACATCACTGCAACCCCTTACCCCTTTTCACCCTTTCTTTTTAATCATCATGTATTACTCTCCACTTGTCTTGTTAATAATAATAAATCAAATCCATTGCATTTGCTACTGTAAATACTAATAAACTTAATACCTTTCTAATCTACTTAGAATGCTAAGACGTTTTTAGTTTATTTCAATATTTCAATCACTTTCATGTTTTCAAAAAAAAGTTCAAATACTAGATGAATCAAAAGTATATATTTATCAAGTTATGCTTAGAGTGGTCTAGAAACAACTTATCATAATTCTCTCCTCTGTAAAATCTAAATTATGTAGCAATAATAACCGCTTATGACTATAACAATAAAACTATCAACCATATATTATAAGAAATTTTTTAATAAAGGTATAGAGTGTCATTTTTCGGCGAGTAAAAAAGGAAATAATACAACTCGACATATAAATTAATAAATAACGTGAAACTAGCCTGGAAGAAATGAACGCTCATCAACATCGTGTAGGTAAAGAATAGAGTCCATACCCTTTATTCAGCCAAGACATATGCAAACAGGACTATGAATAAAATACCTAGATGCTAAATCCTTTGATGTCCCAGTTAGAAATGAGAAAAGATTGAAATGACGCCAAAATGTTATCAGTTACGAATCAATGTCCTGCCTTGGAATAGATAGGTGCAGGTATATTAAGAAAAAGTGAGATAGACCAAAAAGAAAAAGTAAAAAATTGTAAATATATACATATATGATAAAAAAGAAAATAAAATGACAAAAAAATTGGAAAAAAAAAACCTGAGGAAAATGATTCATACACATGTGACATACATATAGAAAAAATATAAATAAAAGAAGTCACACAATTTCTTTTTAATGGTAATGATTTGTGCAATATTTCAAATTTAATAATTAAAGATTAATTTACGTATGAGAAATATGATTTTTATCAACTAAATATTATTTTAACACCTATACAAGAATCGAAATTAGGAGCAACACACCCAGAGCAAAATTAGAAGTGGCAAAATTTTTCTGTTGAGATGGTGATGTGAAAAATGATAATTGTGTGTATAATAATTCGAATAATGTATTATTTATTTGTTAAGGATGGAAAGAGATAAATATATGATATTGGGAATTTGACAGTACGCAGTGACAGACAAAAACCTTGGCCAGATCTTCACTCCACAAAGTACATCCTTTGGCCTTCTTGTTCGTAGGCAATCTCCATTACAGCGAGTGCTGTGGGGTTTTCTTCTTCCACCTATGACGGTCTATATTATAAGCTCTTTCCTTTTCACTAATTGGACCACCATCATCGCTATTTTTCTTTTTGAGTTCAAAAAATCAAATGGTGACAAGTACAGATTAGTCTGCTACTATTCATCTGAGACCCATGTGTTAGGCATACTCGAAAATCATGTGACTCGAAAAGATTGATAGCGCTGCCTGAGAAGTAAAATCAACACATGATGAAATTATGGGACTCGAAAAAACAAGTGTTGCTCGAAAATAGTTGAAAAGTTGAGACTGTCAGAACATGGAGGTTAAGCCAAAACGGTTACTAAAAAATCAATCGAGAAAACAAGGAACGTGGGAAGAGCGGTTAAAGGAAGTTGAGTCAAGACCACGTAGCAAATATAGTGGATAGCGGTTATGAGTCAAAAGCGTACATGTACAGAATTAACCGCCCTTGATTGCTCTATAAATACAAGGAGTACGGACCTTTACTAGGGTCGAAAAACTCATACTAGAATTGGACTCTGAAGCACTCTCTGCCTACACACACATATGGCTTTCGTGCACAAGATCGTTTTTGGGTATGACTGACTCTCGGCCACTTTTTTCTCTTTAGCACACCTGTAACATCTAAGAGTGGCACCTTCATCCTGTCTCCCTCCACTGGCAGCATCAGCAGGTTTCCTAATGACAGGACCCCTTGCTGTGGTTGGGGCCTATCATATGGCTTCCTCTAATTTCTTCCTCTCTTGGACCTAGCTGGTCCCTCAACAGTCTTAGTCACATGGTTGCCACCTTCTAACCACTCAACCACCTTAGCCTTCTCCACCAAGGCCGGAAACTCAGTGATGGCCATAGGCACCACCACCCTCTTTAGCTCTTGTCTCAAACCCTCAGCAAATTGCCTGCATTTCCAGGCCTCAGATCTTCCAGGAGTCCTTCCGGCTGACTTTCCTTTGGTCTTCGAGAGTCTTCAAGCTTTATTTCCGACCCGGACAATTTTAGGGGTCTACAGCAGACAACTAATCCATCCCTAAGATTATGTCAATATCCACCAAAGGTAAACAGATCAAGCTCACCTTGTACCTCTTCTCATTCACAATAATAGGACAACTAGCACAAAGCTTAGAAGCAACCACCGAAGTAGAAGAGGGCGTCGACACTAGTAGTCTAAACCCCAAATCACACACCGGCACACCCAACATAGCAGCACAAGCATAAGAAATAAAGGAGTGAGAAGCTCTAGAATCAAAAAGAATCATCACATCCTTACTAGCAGCTTTACCCTTCCCCTTCACAAGATCAGAAAAAGTTGAAGCCTCAGCCCTAGTCAAAGCAAACACTCTCCCAGCAGTAGTGGGTCTATCACCCCTCTAAGCATCACCCCTCTAAGCACCACTCCTCTGAGCATCCCTCTCCGGTTTGTTTCCGGCGGGACAGTTGGTCGACTCATGACCCATCTGATGGAACCTGAAAGATCGGCTCTCCGTGTGTGGATAATCCCTGACAAAATGGGGTCCAGCACACCTGTAACATCTAAGAGTGGCACCTTCATCCTGTCTCCCTCCACTGGCAGCATCAGCAGGTTTCCTAATGACAGGACCCCTTGCTGTGGTTGGGGCCTATCATATGGCTTCCTCTAATTTCTTCCTCTCTTGGACCTAGCTGGTCCCTCAACAGTCTTAGTCACATGGTTGCCACCTTCTAACCACTCAACCACCTTAGCCTTCTCCACCAAGGCCGGAAACTCAGTGATGGCCATAGGCACCACCACCCTCTTTAGCTCTTGTCTCAAACCCTCAGCAAATTGCCTGCATTTCCAGGCCTCAGATATAGCTTGCGAATAGAAATAAGCCAGGTGCTCGAATCTCATCGCATACTCCAACACAGACAGCCCACCCTGGTGCAACTGTATGAATTCAGCCTGCTTGGCGTGCCTCACGCTCTCTGGGAAGTATTTCTCCAGGAACACCCTCTTGAAGGATTCCCAATCATCAACCACTCTTCTAGTAGTCATCATGTGATGGGTACCTCTCCACCAATGCTCAGCCTCCCCAACCAGCATGTAAATAGCATATGCCAACCTCTTCTCCTAAGAACATCCCAACATAGTGAAGATCTTCTCCAGCTCAGAAATCCAATGGTCAGCTACCTCTGGGTCTGCATCTCCCTTGAAATGTGGAGGATGGCATTTCTGGAACTCAGCTAGATCCTGGCTCTGCTGTGACCCCACGGGCCTTGTTGCTTCAGCTGCAGCTCTATTAGCGTCCATCCTAGCAAAATAAGCATTTTGCTGCTGCATAGCCATAACCATCATCTCCATGGCATGGGCTATCTGCTCATTGGTTCTAGTCATTATCTACAAAAGTAACAGCACCTTCAGTATATAATAACTAAACCAAAAAACAATCAACAGCACATTAATCAACAAAGAAATCAGCACAGCACAGAGTTCAGCACAACAAAAGCCTAAAGGAACCACCCCCAAAGAGTTTCCACTAGACTCGAACTGCTCTGATACCACTAAAGTGTAACGACCTGGCTGGTCACTACACACAGCACAGCACCACACAGCACCACACAGAAAAGAGAAAGTATATATATATAAGCAACTAAAATATATACACAAGGTCTAATTTGGGGCTAAGAAATCAGAGTAAACAAAATACATCCAGCAATGCTACAAAAGTAGCTAAAACAACAAAACATCAAATGAATAGCTCCATATGCCAGCTGCAGACCTGCCTAGACACCAACCTATCCCTGCTCTGCTCCCATACAACTATGATCATCGCTGTCCAATCCACATGGAAATAATAAAGGCTAAGCTAGTGAAAAGAATCAATCACATATATATAATTACATGAATGGTAAACAGCTACAGCTATCAGTACATCATCAGCATACAACTCATCAAATATACAGCATAAACAGTAGTAAACACACAATGCATCGTCACGCATGTCAGCTAGAAGTGGTCACTTGTAAGCGGTATAACTCGACCTGGCCCCTATACCGTGGTCGCTTTGTACACGAGTGCCTCGACCTTGCCCACACATGGGACCAATAAGAACTTAGAGGAGAACAGAAAGTTACGAATCCAAGGGACAGCTTTCTAGGGAGGGTTTTCAACAAATTGGGCTCTAAGAGCACCACACCCACTCAATCCACACAATGAGATGAGGAAATTTCGAAAACATCTCCTCTAGTCTTAGTGATCAACAGCTCAGCCTTACGACCTATAATAGCTCAGCCTTACGACCTACAACAGCTCAGCCTTACGACCTACAACAGCTTAGCCTTACAGCCTACAATAGCTCAGCCTTACTGCCTACAACAACTCAGCCTTACGACCTACAATAGGTCAGCCTTATGGCCTACAACAGCTTAGCCTTACAGCCTACAACAGTTCAGCATTTATCAACATCTATTAGCAAATTTCAGCATAATTCAACATATATCAGCGTATAAGTACACCTCACATCCGCGCCCGGCACACTCATGGTCGCGCTCGGCATGGCACAACCAGAGAGCACCAGGGGCTAGCATGCCCGGCGCAATTCCAATTGTGCCTAGCGCAAACCCAGGCAGAGACTCTAAGGAGTCTCACGCGCCTGGCGTGCCCTAACCCACACCCGGTGCAGAGAAGGCAAAGACCTCCCAAGGTCTCGCGCTCGGCGCAATATAAATTGTGCCTGGCGCCGCCTTTGGCAAAGACTCCCAAAGAGTCTCCATGCCCAGCGAGACATAGTCACGCCCAGCGCCAAATCAGAAACCAAAATCCTTGTTACTTACTGATATTGCGCCCAGCGCGATCCCAACCACGCCCGGCGTGGGCCATCTAGAGGCGCACACTCTCAAGCTCGCCCCGGC